ACACACACACACACACACACACACACACACACACACACACACACACATTTATATAAAATACTTAATTACACACATTTGAGTAGAAGTAATAAATTACTTTAATTCCTGTTTAAATGCAATTCATCCTGCCATACCTGCAGTGTCTTCAGGCTTTGCCAACAAATTAAAAGTTGAAGCTTAATCATTAAATTATTATCTTTGTGTTAGATTTATTTATAAATCACATTTAAACACTGCTTGTACCAATTAAATTAAATAAAAAGTAACACACACGTTCTCTATCACCGTCATTAATCAGATAAACAAACAAACAAGCAGCTTCATCTCCCAGAGACACTGATGTTACGATTTCTCTCTTGAAACAGAACAATGTGTTAAATTGTAGAGACTCACCTGCAACACGAGTTGGGAGTGAAACATGTATCAGCTGCAGCTCCTTCCTCCTCCTCATGACTCTAACACGTTTACGTTTTATCTCCGTGGTTCTCTCGTGTCATGTCGGCAATTTTCAAAGCTGCATTCTTTTCATTTGTAATCTTTGTTAAGTTCTCCCACTCTTTGGAGGACTTGGGTCGAACAGTTTTCGCTGCGTCGTTTGTAAAATTTTCTTAAATTCCTTTGAAAACACTCTGCTCTGCTTCCTCCTTCCCCCTCGCTGTTCAACTCGCGCTGCAGTTTTTTTTTTTCAAACTTTATTCAGTCAGTCAGCATTGACAATGAACTGCCCGTGAACAAAACGAAACGGCTCAGCAGCACCGTGAAAGATGCATAATCGCACGACACAACGAATCGATAACGAAATTCGTTGCCAACACTTTTAATCATCGATTTTTATCAATTTTATTGATTCGTTGTTGCAGCCCTAGTCGGAGGTCTAGTTCACTACACACTCAACCCCCTGTGAATAGTAAACAGCCATCAGTGTGCTAATGATCCATTGTTAGGCCTATCGTCCTCCTTGATTATGTGAGCAGCTGGTTTTGATTGTCAGCAGAAAACTGGTTGATCCACTATGAGTCGTTGCTATTCATAAGACTGAGCTTAATACAGCACCTCAGCCTGAAGAAGTCTTTCGCATGAAAGACGAAATGTTTCTACAATTTTTTTCTTTTTTTTTGTATGTCCACAGGACCAGATTAAACTTTTTTGATAACTGGTTTGTTCCACTTTGGAGTAAGCTGTTTCGGGGAGGAATCAGTTTTGTGTTGTGTGTTTCCTTGACTGATGAAGCATTCTGGATGGAAGGTGAAAAGTTTCAGAAAAAAAAGAAAAAAAAAGAATCTGTTCTGCCACATTAAACCACGGTAAAGTTCGTTTTATGATGGACATTCGAGCTCCATGGCTTCAGCAGGGCTCTGCTCTTTGCTCAACCCACAACAGGCGACTCGACCCCGGCCAGCCGCGTCCAATCTGCCCCGCTCAGTCTGCCTCTCTGAGGAGGGACAGACTGAGCGTGGCTGCCCCAAATCAGGCTGCCTGCTTCGGATTGAACAAGAAGTAGACGTAACTGAAACCATGGAGCTCAAATGTTGACAGAGAAGTTGCTAAACTTCATCATAATTAATGACCAACCACTATCAGTTGTAGAAAACGAAGGATTTCACAGCTTGATACTTGCAGCCAAGATATAGTTTACCCTCCAGGAGATATTTATCAGTACAACAGTAAACAATCATAAAAAAATATATGATTTGAAAATTATATATATTAAAAACATAAACAGCTACATTATAAAGTGATGTAAAATACTAAAAACAGGAACATGCCTGTTGGTTTATGCCATGAACTTAGCAGATGTTTAAAGCCATTTAACATTTTATTTTATTTAATTCATTTATTTATTCATTTAAAAGAAACAAAATAGAAAAAAAAATCAGAAATAAAACATTGACTGAAAAGAGTGCAGAAAGAAGAAAAATAATTCTTATATCTGCCCCTTATTTAAAAAAAAATATAAAATAACTTTAAACAATCACTTAAATTAATCACTTTAATATCCACTTTAAATAGGAATAAAAAGAAACATGTTTTGTGTTAGCAGGATTTAATTATTACTTTAAAATTTATCCAACGTTAATAAAACTTACCTCAAGTTGCCTTTTTGGACATGCATGCATATATTTGTACAAATTGTACTTGAAAGGAGATTATTACAGCCTCATATAAAATCAATGATGATCATGATATTGGAACTGGATCGGTATCGGCCGATACTCAGTTCTAGGTATCGGGATCGGATCGGAAGTAAAAACAGTGGATTGATGCATCCCTAGTCTTTAACTCTTTGTTAAAAAAATCAGGTATCTCTTGTAAATGAGTCCCCGAGGCTCAATGGGATTAACCTGAATAAATGAAGGTTAAATGAATGAAAATTATTTTTTTAACATTTTAGGAACTTTTTGTGTGAAACTTTACATCTGTTGATGCTGCTGTTACACTTGAATTCCCCCTGTGGGACAATAAATTCTGTTTCTGTTCTATTCTGTGGATGGATGGATGGATGGATGGATGGATGGATGGATGGATGGATGGATGGATGGATGATAGATGAACATATGAATGATGGATGGATGGATAGATGGTTGGATGCATGGATTAATGGATGGATGGACAGATGGATGGAT